TGGGTGGAGAGATGGATAGATGTATGGATGGGAGGCTGAAGGAATAAATCACATAGACTTTAGACTAAGCGCCTTTCTCCATCCATAGACCCTGAGCATGAGCACCTTTCCATCACTCCATCTGCCCAACTACCCACCCTCTTTCTCTCAGACCTCACAGACCCGAGAGGTGTGAAACAGCAGAAGTGAACTAGTTCTCCCATAGAATCTCCACCAACTAAGGAGAGGAGCTGCGAGAGGCTGACCGCATGCCAGCTCTCCTTTTTCAGGCCAGATGGAAGCAGCCAGCTCCTCTTTGTGGCTGCAGATGCACACCTCCTGGTTCACAGCAGTTGTTACCGAGTGGCCGGCTCATCAGGGAGCTGGGCATGTCTGAACCTCTCCCGGAACACTGAACCCCAGACTCGCTCCCTGCTCTCTCCTGTCTAATGACACTGTAGGCAGCCATCTGAAAGCTGTTTCCAGTAACCATGATTCTGCCCTAGTAAAGCTGGGGCTCTTTCTGGGAGAGCTAATGATTTTCCAAGCCCTAAAGGGCAGAGCAAACCCAAGAGGGAGACAGCATGATATATTAATCAGAATCCTATTCTGTGGAATTTCCTCTAGTTTATCTAAAAACCAAATGTCATTGAGACCAAGTCGATGTTACTACTTGCTTCCATTTCTAATGGAAACAAAAAAAGATAAGAAAGAAAAACAGGTTTTTTTTTGGTGTTTTTTAAGATAGTATGCTTCCAATTCTATCTTTCTCCTCTGGATGCTGAAGGCAGGTTGGGGAGGGAGGATGCTTTCTCCAGTGGGTAAGGGGACCCAACATGGGAGGGCTAGGTTGGGGAGCAAGACTAAATCTACAAAATGAGGGGTGCCAAATGAGTTTCATGTCATGGACCATTACCAACCAGTGACAGTGAATGTCTACAGAGGTGTGTTGTGAAAGATTCTGAGGCTTAATGGGAAGGAACATGAAGATTGATTAGCAATGCCTGCTACGGGTGAAGAACAAGGTGGTACCAACAAGTCTGAATATATTTGCCACCCCTAGGAGGACACGTGTAACACTTTAGGATAAGTAATGGACTGCAAGGTCAGTTTGAATTGCAGGGTTGGTGGTTCAAATTCTCCAGCTGCTCCTCGAAAACCTTATACAGAGTCATTGTGAGTCAGAACCAACCGGGAGATGGCACTTAACGACAACAAGGGCAGGAACCACATCTTCCTCACCTTCGCCTCACCACTTCATATACAAGTTTGCTGGACTCAAGGCTGTTATAATGCAAAAATGTTCAGGATTACTGAGGACTCAGTATGCACTCCGCATTATACTTGCCTGGAAGCCATGCCTCTGTGATGTGTCAGTGCTAACTTTATTCCCAACGCACTAAGGTGCTCAGAGAGGTGCGGTGGCTTGCTGAAGGTCACCTAGCCAGGCAGCAGCAGAAGAACCTCCAGATATTCCTCTGCAACTGTTCCTAAGTTCTCCGGAAGCCCTTACACCCATATTCTAAAAGGGCATTCTTGATTGTTGCAAATGGGAGGGGGGGGCATGTGCTACTGTCATTGAGTGAGCAGAGGCCAGGAATGCTGCTGAACATCCTACAATTTCAGGGCAGCCCCCACAACAAGAATAATCTGGTCTCAAATGTCGATAGTGCCAAGATTGAGAATCCCTGATCTATGGACTTCTCCACACATCACTGCAAAATAAATAATAAAACCCAGATGGTGCCTCCAAAGCTCAAATCATCAGGGAACAAACCCCCTCCTTTATTATAAGCACTGCTCGTTTCATATCCGAGTTATTCCTTATTCTCAATTACAGCACCTTCTCGAGAAAAGAAGATGTAATTAAGTTTAATAGTTGGGATTCATTTGCCAATATCTGGTAAAGGGGTGAATCCTGTCGATTACACTAAGCAGCTGCAGCATTAGGAGTTGAGAGCAGGAACAGTCTCCACACAGCCTCCTACGTGGGCGTGAAGACTTGAACTTTGAGATCCTCTCTTTACTTTCTTGTTTGGATTTCATTAAACTTGCCAATGAGAAACCTTGAAAGTGATGAAGACCTGTTTAAGGAGAAGGGGAGGGGGAGACCCTATGAAAATCCAGACTTCATCGTAACAGAGAAGGCAAACAACATTTACAGTAATTAAACTGAAACTGAAACTTCTTTTTAACAATCAAAGCGCCTGTTCAGAGGCCTCCATAGGTGAGCTAGGGCTTCTGTACTCCTCAACTTTGCCGAGAGAAAGGCCTGAGGTCTGGGCAGCAGAGCCTGCGCAGCCCTGGCGCCTTCAAAGGTGGAAGAGACGGTGTTTCTGCTAGGCCATGTGCCTTTTCAGCAGCTGTCAATGGAAAGATGCTGGCGGGAGGCAGTTTGTTCTCTCCTTCTGAAGTTCCCACTGTCCGAGTCTTTGAGGAAACGACTCCACAGAGAAGGAGGGGCCCAGACAAGGAGCCTTGCTGGTGCAGATGTTAAAGCACTTGGATACTATGCAAAAGGTCAACGGTTCGAATCTACCAGCTGCTCCACACGAAAAAGATGTGGCAGCCTGCTTCCGTAAAGCTTTGCAGCCTTAGAATTGTATGGGGCAGTTCTATTTCATCCTCTGTGTTCACTTATGAGTCCAAGATCACTTGATAGTGGGTTGGGTTTTGTAACCAGACAAGCAAACTGAATGCCCACAGAAGGAACCGATATTATTCCTCATCTCCGCTATTTAGCAGGATAATGCACTGGACAGCAAGGTCCGTTTGAATTGCAAGGTCAGCGGTTCAAACCCACTAGATGCTCCTCTGGAACCCTATACAGGGTCACTATGAGTTGGAACCGACTTGACGGCACTTCACAACAACAACAAAGAAAAACTTAC